GATATCGTCCTCTTTTGGAAGGTCAAACAAAGTAGTTTCGCTTTCACAACGAAGCACACAGCGTCTTCACGACATGGCTGCAGTGTCAACAATACTACAGCGAGAATAAAAGTTACGTCTTCTTTCTTTGCGTGAACATTTGGGTGGTGTTATGCAAATCTTCCCACACAGTGACGTAGACATGTGGGGGCGTGTTTAAACTAGCCGTTTTAGGAGGGCATGGACAAGTCTTAACTTTTATAAAGAATATCTCTTTGGATTTGAGACTTTAGTCTTTGCAACTTTACAGATCTTCTTTATGCACCAAGAACTTGTAACACTCCGAAGAGAAAGGAAAAATTTAAATCGCATCATATGACCCCTTTAAACAAGATCTGGGCTTAGACTATATTAACATGGATTACAGCGGTATCTATTTTATTCAGTAACAGATTTCATTTTGTCAGACAATATAATGGTGAATTTTCTATACAGTCTCATTAGAAAAGTTATTCTACTGCAGTTTTTCTCTGTTCAACCAAAACATTTCTCAGTTGCGTTCTTTTAATTGTTTCGATTATTCTGTACATCTTTAAAATTGTGTATTAATAATACAATTTAAAATGTAAGGTGTGTATTTAGTACCATATTAGTATTTGCTGTAGTGTCAAAAATTGGTATTTCAAAATCCTGAAATATTGGTATTATCACAATCCTAGTGCAGAAGTAGCTTGAACAACCATATTCAGATATTTTAATGACAGTACTGTTAAATACAACAAAACCACAAGATAAATGAGGCTTTACAGGAACATCCTAAAATGGCACATTGGAGACTATGTTTCTATTCTGAGACTGGGCTGGATCTTAATATGCACGTGTTCACCTTTCTCTTCTCTTTTCACCAGGTTAACATGGTTATCGGGATTCTGGTTTTTAACAAACTGGTGTCTAAAGATGGCATAACTGATATGAAACTCAAGGAGAGGGCCGGGTATGCCTCACAGCACTCATTCATCTCATATGCTGACCTCTAACCAGCTCTGAGAAAGAGATTCATTGGCCAGACCTTTCATAACATCTCTCCCCCCTTCCAGAAGGACACAAATTGGCATGAATGAATTAGAAAAATGTCATACACTCTTTTTTGTCGTGTTTTCCACAAAAAAAAAAATATCTCAACATCTTTAAAATGGGAAACATCAAATATGATTGTTTTCAGAAACTATATCTTGAGTTCTTCTTACCCCATGCCAATAGTTTTTTTTCTTGTTTTACAGATAAATGAGCAAACAAAATTAAGGTCTGTTCACACCAAGAACGATAACTATATAGATAACTGTATTAGCGTCCACACCAGCGGACAATATCGTCTGTTTATTCTAAGTGCACGCTCGTCTGCCGCTTTAAATTCTCGAGCTCGTTATAGCAGGATTGATTCTGATTGGGTGTCAATTTTTTTATCGTTCATCAGCTGGGGAAAAAAATAGTTCTGAAAGTGATTCCAACGATATCGTTTCCCTGTGCCTTTATCATTATAGCTGTGGTGTGGAGAATGGTTTTTAGAACTATATCGTTATCTTTATAGTTATCGTCCTTGGTGAGAACAAGCCTTTAGCGAGGTTTGTGCTTAAAAGCAGAAAATTATACTTTTTTTCCTTAGAAGAGAGGGGAAGAGATCACAAAGGACTGGTTATTGGTCCTGTCAAAAGCAAGATGACATTTCTGCTCACTCATTGCATTTTTTTTACATTTCAGTTGGTGATTTGCCATGTGTCGCTTAATCATTTCTCCAGCTTCTCTTAAGTTTTAGGTGTTGCTGTGCATCTTGATACAGCTGTTTAAATCCATGTGTGCCATGTTTCTGTGTGTGAAAAGTATATTTGAGGGGCAGTCGCAAAGGAAATCTGACATAACGCGTCAGCTTCATGTGTCTGATCGATAGCACTCAGGCTGAGCGAATTTCTCATTTTATATCCATTGATTTTGACAAGTTTTCAGTCGTGTGAGTTAAATGTCACTGAAGCTGAAGTATGAACCGAGATTTGTTATTACAGACCTCATTATAATGGTTTCACAATCGTATGCTGTCCATCTCTGTGCCATGGACCATCAATTACACACTGGAATTGTTAATCTTCCAAGATTCACATGCCTTCTACCAATCAGGCTTTACAGCAGAAACGTGGCCTGAGATTTATTACCGAGAAGACGAATATTAGTCAATCATGATTGACTGTCTGTGTTTCCTTTTCTGGGCTGTGCTCCACTGCTTGCAGGCTGACGTGTGCCCTTACTGACATTGTTTTTGCATCCGACTGTTTTCTTTCCCTTGTCCTTATCTTTCCTTTGTGTTTTTATTATTAAGATTATTTCATTTCGACTATGTTGTGTTTGCCTCTGCTATGATCTCTCTGATCGATTGTGTTTGTTTTTGTGCTCTTTGAGACATTGTATCAGAGTTACCACAGCATCCCCTCGCTCACACTCAGGGCTCTCCTCTCTTCCCCGCCCACCCGCCACTGATTGGCTGAGATGCAGGTCCGTCCACCCTCTAATTTAGCCTCTCCCGCAATACAATGTTCAGTACCCTGTACAGTTTTATATTAGGGCTTTAAATTACCTGATGCCCATCTTAATGGGCTTTCAGGACTGTCAATTTTCTGAATAATTCTGATTGAAGCATGCTGGTTAGATTAAATGTGCTTTATATTATACATTTAGATTTAGAATAGCTTTAGATACAGTTTTCTGATTCTTGTGTGGTTTTATAAATTAGTTATTGTGTGTGTGTGTGTGTGTGTGTGTGTGTGTGTGTGTGTGTGTGTGTGTGAGTGTGTGTGAGTGTGTGTGCGTGCGTGCGTGCGTGCGTGCGTGCGTGCGTGTGTGTGTGTGTTTGAGACTGTGTGTGTGTGTGTGTTTGAGACTGCAAAAGAATGCTTGTATGTGAATTTCATTGTCTGGACATTTTGGATTGGATTTTTTTCTTTGAAAGTCAGATTTCTGTTTGTGCTTAAGTAATAATGGGAAATATTTTTGCAATTCCAAATCTCTTATCAACATGTTTGCTTGAGTATTTTCCAGCCGCATTGCGTTCTCTGCAGAAACCGATTAACTCAAGGCTGGCTGCCGTTGTTTGGTGCTGATAGATGGGAAGGGTGAATTAGATTTAGAGGGAGGATTTTTTTGTTGCTTTTTCCTCCCTCCCTCGCCCTTGTTCTTAAACACAGCATTTTTCATTAGCCTAATTAATAAGTGCTGCTGTTAATTATGCCTAGTGCAGGAGTAGCACTTTGGATAGTCTCTGTACACCTCTAAATTCTGGCATTTTCTTCCGTTTTAGAATATCAAAGTGCATTTGGACAAATTGTTGTGGCTCTCATCAAGAATTTTTGCATTGCTTTACTACCTGTGACAAAAAAAAATCAAAAAGATGAACTGTTTCAAAAATGGAGGGTACAATAAATTAGAAGGTTTGCTTTAATATTTGGTATAGGATCATATCAGCTCAGTCTTTGAAGTCCCTCCATCTCCACGAGGACTAGCATGTATTCAAAAAAAATGCTGATTGCTTTTTAATATCACTGCCTTCAGTGAGGTTTTATTGGTCACATTGGCCTTTTGCTTGAAATTAAATTTTTTATATTATGTGGGGTTTAATCTACATGTCTGCCAGTAGCAGAATCAACTTCCTATCCGTTTGGGCAGCCATGCCAAGCTGATGGCTTTAATTTATTATTTTTTTTGTTTGTTTGGAGGTGGCAATTTTGTGTACAGCATTACATACACTAACGTTCAAAAGATTGAAGTCAGCAATTTTTTTCTTTCAAAGTTTTTATTCATCATAGAATTTCTACAAAAATATTAAGATGCACAACTCTTTTCAACTGTCATAATAAGAAATCTTTCTTGTGCACCAAATCAGCACATTAAAATGATTTCTGAAGGATCAACTGGAGTAATGGCTACTGAAAATTCAACTTTGCATCACAGGAATAAATTATATTTTAAAATATATTAAAATAGAAGACAGTAACTTTCAATTGTAATAAGAATATTACAATGTTTTTACTGTAATTCGATCAAATAAATGTATTCTTGTGATTTCTTTCAAAAAAAATTATTTCAAAGTGATTTCTTTCAAAAACAAGAATGTTAACCCCAAAGTTTTGAACAGTAGTCTTTTTTTGGACAATGTTAAACAGTGCAGCTTCTCTTATTATTATTATTTTCTCAAAAGGACTGCATATTTTGCATATTTTTCACATTTCATGAGCTATCTGCAAATATTAAAATGCATTTGAGATTCTCTGTAGAAGCATATTTTAAAAATGAAGAAAGTAAATAAAATCTCAAATACGGTTGTATGCTGTACTGAAATCTCAAATATGACTGTATGCTGCAGTTTGTTAAAACAAAACAAGCCACACATAGATATATGCAGAGTTTGATATTGACAGTTATGGCTGTGGATGACTTTAATGTGTCTCCTAAAATGACTGTGATTTAGCTTGAGTCTGTGAATACACGATCTCTGGCTGTCAACATGCATGAATGTTTGTGTGTATGTTATTCAGCCAGCTTTTTTTAGTTCCCATGTCTCTCTCCAGGGCCCAAAGACAGATGCAGAGTGGGACGGATAAACTGCTCGCAGCCTAAATCAAGCAAATTCCATATGGCATACTAATGCAAAAGAAGATTTTGATGTCATTGATATGACAGAATCAAAATCTTATCATGTAGCATTTTACATAGATTGTCAGTGGAAATAAATGATGGTAATCTATACATACATGCACTGCATATAGAGTTTCTTTTTTTTTTTTTTTTGTTCTCGCTAGCTCTTTGTCCCACATGTTCAATCAGGCCTGTTTAGAAATAAAACTAACGTGACGGCATCTTTTCCATCATTCCCGCACTCTTCCCAATGCCTTGACAGAGGTCTGCCCTGAGTGAGAGCTGGAAGGGGATTCTGTGCCCGCTAGTTCTGTGTATCTGCGTGTATATAGGTGTATATGTATCTGTGTGTGTGCGAGAGTGTGCATGTGGTTATATGTCAGCGTACATGTGTATTTCAGTGTGTTGATTTGACTTTGCAGTCAGATGACAGTGCCACTGTACAATATGACGCTCAAATGTGCCAAGTGCGGAGTTATCTCGTCGGCTGACGTTTCCACCACAGCTACCAGTAACGCCATGTTAGTCCCGCTAATTATTTACCAACTCTATGATGCTCTGCCTTCGGTTCTGTTTTCCTTTCTGCATATTTCTTACCTCACCCTTCTTTTTCCTTTTCTGGTTTTCTCCCCCATTCATTTCCCTCACCCTGCTATTGCTCCTTAGCTGTTAAGTCAAAAGTGATCAGCAGAGACAGAGCTTTTATGTTGTTGCAATGCTAAATCATGCAGATTGCAATAGGAGCTCATGCTGAAGCCCTGCTGTGTATGTTTGTGTGAGTGTGCAAGCGTGTTTGACCAGACAGTTCCTTGCTAGAGATTACCATGGTAACCGTAATTTCTGTCAAAGTAGCATAGTTTTAGTTATAATAAATTACTTTTAGGCATTTGGCAGATGTTTTCATATAAAACAGATTTCAGTGCATTCAGTATGTGCATTCTCTGGGATTCAAACCCATGGCCTTGGTGTTGCTAGCATCATGCTCTACTAGTTATTGGATTAGAGATAGATCGATATATCATCTAGGCATCATCTATCACCTATAAATCAGCCAGTATTTGGCCATGCGCTTGGCAGATGCATTGGCACTTTCAGTTATTTGTAGTAAATTTTGAGTAATTTTCAGTGTTGTTATTGGTAACTAAAACTAATGGGTTTCTGTAATTAAAATAAAGCTTTAAAAAATTAATATAAATATTAGATGAAAAAAAGAACATTTAAAATGTTGCCTTGGCAACTAACTGAAATAAAATGAAGTACTGAAATTACCAAAACTAAAACCGAAATAAAATAAATTACAGCTAAATAGAAGTATTTAAAAAATGTAAATGACAAAAGCAAATAACAAAATTATAAAAATTTAAAATGAAAACATATGACTAAATACTATAATAGTATACTAAAAAAATGTGTTATTATAATATTTAGATAAAACATGTTAATTTCAGCACATTTATATACATCTTAGTTGGTATAATTCAAATGAATTAGCTCATCACATACTATATATCAAACATTTGAAAATATTGGTCAATCACTGTACTACAAAAAAAAACATGTAAAAACAGTTTTCACTCAGAATTTGCTATTAAATTACACAAATAATTACAAAAAAACGAATTGAATAAATGTGAAATTTTGAAGTAGAAAAGCTGAAATAGTATTTTCCTGTAAAATTTCCCTGATTATCTTTGTTTTACTTACAACTTTGAAAAATATTTTTTACGGCATATCCTTAATTTTCCTGCATCTCTCTGCATTTTTATTTTTATTATTTAATTATTTTTTTTTTTTCATTTATTTTGTGATGACAGTGGTGGCCAAATATTCTGTAGTGGCAGTAACTATATGATATTTAGCTTGAACTCTGTGGTATTTTGGTGGAAACTATGGTTGCCATGAGACATTATTGTAAGGGCTAATAATAGCAGCCATGTCAAGATTGGCTTATCTGACTCTTGAGACTGCAGTGAGCCATGTTTATCAGGTTTCTATCATTAGCCTGTTGCTGGTACTGGCCAGGTGTTTTACTCTACAATGTGAGATAAAGTAGACCAGCCATTTATTAATGTACGCAAATATGTGTAGGATGTGTTTTTGTATGTGGCAGCATCTAAGAAGCAATAAGAGAGGTTAAAATCATGCAACCTACAAGACATATTCATATATATATTTATTTATTTTGCTGGTGAATTGCAGCAATTTGTAAAAATACCTCAGCAGACGAGGTGGGTTAAAGGTCAATGAGGTTTTACCACATTATGTGTTGGTATACATGTATAAATGTCTGAGGTTGACTACATTTGTGGTTAGCAGTGCTTGTGTACAGAATGTCAGGCGAAAGCTTTATAGGGCAGAGTACTTCATAAAGACAATTATGTACATGTCTTTATGGGGCCTGTGTGTCTGTTAATGAAAGATCTATTGTAAATCCCTGACGTATATTAGATACATGAATTGTGATTATTTCCCACAACAGTGTAGCCACTGCAATCTCTCTTTTGTTTTGTTTATATGAGCATCCCTGATGTGTGTGTATGTGTGATTGGCAGAATGTGTGTTTGTTGGTGCATTAAAAAGATACAAATGCAGTAGACTGGAGCAGATAAAGAATTAAATATTTAAAAATGGAACAAAAATAGTAAAAATAGTGAGATGTAGGACTTGCTGAGCATGCTGGCCCTTCCTCCAAATCCATGATCAGGGGAGATTTCTTCTCTAAAGACCGCTGAATTGTCTATATTCCTTCATCTTTCATCCTCTCATTTGTCTTCCTTTTTTTCATAGTCCATTGCTCCTTTTTTATTGCTTCTTTTGGTTTATTTTTACCTGTTGCACCTGTTCACATATGTTTTGAACTGTGATTGAACCTACATGTTTTCAGTATCGGTATATCGGTATTGTTCAGTATAATCAACAAAAAGGGCAACTCTAGCTCATATTGAACACTGTATTGATCTGTGTATTCATATATTAATGCTCTTTAGTGCAATACCGCATTTATATCTGTAAAACACTCCTCAGACATCCAAGAAATCAATAATATGTGTGATAAATATGAATTAGTTCCATAAGAAATTTCTAAATATCAACCAAAGTCACTTTATCCCTTAGTTTTGCCCTCTTTGTCAGCTTATATGGCAATGGTAATATGAATTGTCACTCAGTGTAATTCTGCTCTGGTCCTGTAGGGCGTCGCTGTGGAGCTCCTGCGTTGTACTGCCACTGCTGGCTCTCACTTGGATGTCGGCGGTCCTGGCCATTACTGACCGCCGTTCAGCCTTGTTTCAGATCCTTTTTGCCGTCTTTGACTCCCTCGAGGGCTTCGTTATCGTGATGGTGCATTGCATCCTACGCAGAGAGGTGAGGGAACCTGTCTGATGTCTGGTTTTTAATTGGCGGACTTTCTAATTTTAGATTCAAATTACTTACTTAGACATGTTTTTTCGCAATCAATTAGGTACAAGAGGCAGTAAAGTGTCGTGTTGTTGACCATCAAGAAGATGGAAACGGTAACTCTGGTGGATCTTTCCAGAACGGCCATGCTCAGCTGATGGTGAATTGCGACTAAATATCTGTATTTCTGTCGTACATTAAGCATAAAATTGTGGTTTAAGACTCTCATTCTCATTGTTTTCTCCAGACCGACTTTGAAAAGGATGTGGACATGGCTTGCCGATCAGGTGAGTCTCTCACAACATATGCTCCGGTCACTTAAAGTTGTTGTGGCATCCCTCTGAGAGGTTAAGACAAGACAAGTGCCATTTTACAGGCCACATAATGCATTTTCATCAAGGAGATTAAGAAGACGATCTGATAGCTGGCGAGAAGCAAAATGCAGATAAATAGACTTGTCTGTTCCCTTGCCGTGCCTCAGATATGCCGGCCTGTCCTAATTAAGTCCCTCATGACATTTCATTATCAGATAGCAGCTTTCTTCTCTGATATCTATCGGAAATGGGATTTTGATTATTTATCAAGACGACATATCAAGCTAGCGTCTGGAAATATAGACTTGTGATGTGATATTTTTTTAGTTTTTTGAAGTGTGAAGGACTAAAAATTAAGCCTTCAATCAGCCTTCCTTCAGTTAGTTGTTCTAAAGAAATTTTTACATGACTTGCCAAAGCTAAAGTTTAATTCTTGGCTGCATTATTGTGAAAAGCATAATGCGACCCTCAAAGTTCAAACTGTTTCGCATCTTTGCTTGCTCCTGTTTTCCACTGACCTTTGTAATGTAGCCAATTATTACCTAATAATTCACATAATGTATAATTAGTTTGCTGGTGCTCATGGGAAAATCAAAATAAGAAGAGAGATTGCTCCTTTGTGTACTTATTTACACCTTTATGATCCCATCTTTGACCATTCTTTTTTTCTGCAACATATCAAACCAATGATTAGGACTTGTCTTTTTCAAGTTAAAACACTTTATCTATTTTATTAGCAATTTCACTGTCTACCCTTCCAAATTTCGAGCTCATAAAATTTCAGGTGATGTCCAGGTGTCATCATTAGGGATCTATAAATTCCGAGATGTGGGAAACTTGGGCGGACTTGCAGAATCCAGGCATAAAAATAGAATTTACTGTATAGTGTGGAATGCCACTGAATTTGGAAAATTTTGGATTACAAAATCAAAAGTAGGGCTGTAAAATTTATAAAATTCAAAGTGCAGTATGGACTAACATCAGTAATTATTAAACAGGAATCTGAAATATAGAATCAGATGCATTTACTTTGTTTCGTTCTATACCATGTTAGACCATATACCGCATTATTCTTATGATTCAGCAAAGTTTTATCTATATTACATCATAATTTGTGCTGATAAAATAGCAGCAAAATGTAGCACCGCTTTATCAAATCAGCATGTATTTTCTCTGCTGTGATCTCTTTTCACTTACTAAGGCTTTTTCCCTCGGATTCGCAGGCACCCTAAAGCGTTCCTCCCAACTAGGTGAGGAGAAGGTAGCTTCACAGCAGATCACGGTACAGAAAGGCTCCAACTTCAACACCCTTCCTGCCAGCATGGCAAAGGTCCACCTGCAAAACGTTGCTGACTACGCCAGCCACACTCTCACCATGCGTCGCGAAAAAAGCGCTATTGCCGGGGTCAGTACAGAGCTACCCGGAGCCAAATCTATTTACATCTGTGATGGCGAGCTCTTCAGGCAACTGGATGGAACCCCGGGAGACAGCAGCGGTCCCGAAGGAGGAGGAGGAGGGTCGGGCCAGGGTTACGTGCTCTTGCCCAACAACAACAACACCCTTAGGCCCACAAAGGGCAGCAAGGAGGACCAAGCCACAAAGTACAACATCAGCATCGAACAGTTACCCCAGACCAGGCTCATCCATCTGGCCAACCCTGCTGGCACCGATCCTGTGCCAGGCTTTGGGTTGAAGACCCTGCCCACCGAGCGAGTCAGCATTTCCTGCTCAGAGAGGGACTCCCCTGTGCAGACAGTGCAGAACATCTCCGGCGAGTCCCAGATGACAAACACATGTGAGCAAGGGGACTCTGGGAACTCTGGCATGATGTCTAAGAGTGAGACCATCTCAACACTGTCTATGAGCTCTTTGGAGGTAAGAAACAACAATAATCATGAGATAAAACAATGCAACCCTCTATTTTGCGAGTAAACCACTCGTATATGTGACAAAATGTTGCGCTAGGCCACCAAATAATGTCTTAATAACAATAATTGAAATATATTTTTTTTATTTCACTCGCCATGGATTGAGTTAGAGAACCAAGAACAATGACTATAAAGATAACTATATCAGTGTCCACACCAACACACGATAACGTTCTGTTTATTAGAAGTGTGCGGCAGTTTTGCCATTTGCTGCATTAAATGCTCAAGCTCTTTAAAGCAGGATCGATTCTCATTGGCTGTCAAGGTTTTTATCGTTCATCAGCTGGAAAAAAAATCACTGTGAAAGTGATTCCAACAATATTGTTCCTTTGTGTCATTATCATTATAGTTTGAATATAGTGGTGTGAACTCTATTCTTTTACATTTAGAATGATTTTAAAAACAATATATTTTCTGTTATAGTTATCATCTTTAGTGTACAATGTGCACAATGTACACATACACAGTCTGGCGAGTAAACAAAAAAAATGTGCTAACCAATGGCGATTCTTTTGCTAAGGTGTTTGTAGAGGGTTGCAAAGTGACAGATGTCCTGTACCTGTTTCCTCACTGTAGACAAGCTCGTTTGACTTCATTTTGTCTAAATAATGAAAACGCTCTTCACAGTTTGTATAGAAAGATTCACAGCCTAAATGGATCAGAACCCCAGTGACACAACAGCTTTCTAAATGACTATTCATTAACATTTATTGGCAAACAGCGCAAATGTGCATGCATCTTACAGCTCTGTAGATACTGGGTTTGCTCTCTTTTTTTAAATCACGATGTCTTTTCATCCTCATCTTGTACTTTTTTTTTCTCAGCCGTGATTATTTCTAATAACTGATGGACACTTTGGTTTCTGGTCCAAAGAAACGTGCTGTAGACCCATCTGCCTACAAGGCTATGAATTCACATCAATGTTTGTCATATCTGCCACAAGGGAGCGAGTGTCCTAATTTATGTGCGGAGTGAAAAAAGTATGTTTGTGGAGAGTGTCTGCGTTGAGGACTGTCATTACGTGGCTCAGAATTACATTTCAACTGACATCAGCCAGTGCACATGCACTCGCTTTCAATAAAAACTGCGTCGAAACACTTAATGGAATGAAAAATCTGCCGTTTCAAAAAGGAAGAAATGAAAGAAGGCTACATAAATTATGCCTCTTTGCATTTGCAATTATCCCTCTTAGAAAAGAAAGTCTCTGCAAAGGTCAGATTTTGCTCATGCTTTAAAAGGGTGCAGATGACAAGTGTGGATTCCTCCTCACCTCAGGCCAAACATGCTCCCAGAATGCGTTGCGGGCACACAGCTGCATCCACAAATGACAGCAGTCTTGTGTGGTGCAGTTTCATTCATCTCTGCAGAGGTTTAAATGAGGGTTTTGTCTTGCAGAAGATCATGCATACACGGAAGCGCCACCAGGACATGTTCCAGGACTTAAACAGGAAACTGCAGCATGCAGAGAAGGACAGGGATTCACCCCCAGTGGACGGGAAGACTGGGAAGAGATGGAGCGTGTCATCAGGAGGCAGCGATAAAACCAATCTTAGTGTACGAATTTACATTAATCACTCCCCCTCCTTTTCTGGTTGTCATTAAGTGGATCTCATTAAAAAAAAAGTTATATTTCATACCAAAATCAAAAGAAAACACAGTACCAGTCAAAAGTTTCGATTTTTTTTTAATGTTTTTAAAGAAAGATCTCTAATTGTAATGTAAATCTTTCCACAAATGACAGCAGTCTTGTGTGGTGCAGTTTCATTCATCTCTGCAAAGGTTTAAATGAGGGTTTTGTCTTGCAGAAGATCATGCATACACGGAAGCGCCACCAGGACATGTTCCAGGACTTAAACAGGAAGCTGCAGCATGCAGAGAAGGACAGAGATTCTCCCCCAGTAGACGGGAAGACTGGGAAGAGATGGAGCGTGTCATCAGGAGGCAGCGATAAAACCAATCTTAGTGTACGAATTTACATTAATCACTCCCCCTCCTTTTCTGGTTGTCATTAAGTGGATCTCATTAAAAAAAAAGTTATATTTCATACCAAAATCAAAAGAAAACACAGTACCAGTCAAAAGTTTGGATTTTTTTAAAATGTTTTTAAAGAAAGATCTCTAATCACCAAATTTGAATTTATTTGATGAGAAATACAGTAAAAACTGTGATATTGTGAAATATTATTACAAATTAAAATAAGCAATTTTTATTTTAAATATATTCTTAAAATACAATTAATTACTGTGATGACAAAGCTGAATTTTCAGCAGCCATTACTCCAGTGTTCAGTGTCACATGATCCTTCAGAAATCATTCTAATAAAACATTAAAACATTGAAAATTATTCCAGACTTTTTACCGGTTCTGTAAATAATACTTTACTTTGAGAAAATGGAGCATGCAGGTTTTGTGAAATTACTTTTCTGACAATTAACATTTTTATATAAATATATAATAAAATATATTATAATATATAACAATAAATTAAAGTGTATTATTATTATTAATAATAATAATAATAACTCTTTTTAATGCAGGACTAGCAACATTTAATTAAATTCAGTTCAGTTTTTCCCATAATAATCTATCAATCTATATTAGAATTTTTTTTAATTGGATCAGTTTTATATCTTGGCATTATTACTAATCGCAAGACACAACTTGATTTTTGTTTTAGTTTTTGTATTTTCAAAATCAAAATATGACTTTATACTGACACTAGTTACATGAAAGTAATTATTTGTTTATTGCTTTTATAATAGTTGCTTTAAATGTTAATAATTGTAATAGTAACAAAAATAGCCTCAATGATAGTAATGTTTGGCCTCATGGGCAGTGACCCGAGTTCAAATCCCGCTCGTGGTCTTTTCCCGATCCCACCTGCCTCTCTCTCCCACCTCGTTTCCTGTCCTCTCTCCAGCTGTACTATCAGCATAAAGGCACAAATGCCAAAAAAATGAGTCTTTAAAGAAAATAATATTCATTTTCTGTGTTCTGTTGGAAACTCAGAAGCGAAGAGCAGGAGACTCTTGGGTATTTTCAGCAGGATTCTTTATTGAGAACGTGCTGTGTGGCGCTGCAGTCATCAAAAGTCTGACTAAGGCTAAGTGATACATTGTATTTTATAGGCATTCAGTGGGCAGTCCTTAAAGGTGTTTACCTTACACAGCCTTTAGAAGTGACCACTTAAACAAAACAATACAGGAAATCAACCCCTGACTGTGAGCTTCAGCAAACCTACTCCCCAAAGATAACAGTACCCAAATGGTTTAAGCTGCACCTGGCCACAAGAACTATAGACGTGTAAACATTCACATGTAGTTAACTCTCAGGAGGAAGATCAGAGACTGGCAGAAGCCCCTCACTAGAAACTATATTGAATTTAATCTGTAAACAGATGCCATCATGTTCACTTTGAATGCCCAATACAATGTAGATCACCTTAGTTTTTCATATGATTTTATGTCATGATGTAGGATCAGCAGATCTTATTGTTATTATTATTATTATCATCATTATTATTATTAAAAAGTATTATAATGATGATGGTTCTAACAATAATATTCGTTTTCTTTATTCAAAATATAATTCTATTTTATATGATGTTTCTTAACATCTTACAAAAATGTCACCCTAAAACATTCTTCTTGTTAATGCAGGACAAGCAGCAGACCCCCAGTAAGCGGGCATGGGAGGGCATCAGGAAGACCCACTCGCCACCATCATGGGTGCGTAAGGAGCTGGAACCTCTACAGGCCTCTCCTCTTGAGATGCAAGCGGTGGAGTGGGAGAAGGCCAGCGCCACCATCCCTCTGGTGGGCCAAGAGATCATGGACCTGCAGACGGAGGTTTGAGAGACCCCCAGAGCATTCAGAGAAACAGAACAAACTTTACTCGCAGGGAAAAGGGACAAAGAGAGGGAATGAGATTGGAGTGAGAGTGCGGACAAACAAAAGTATGCAAGAAAGAGAGTGAAAGCAACATGGCTGTGCAATTTTTATTTGTGTTGTAGTTGTTGTTTTTTTTTGTAATCCTGGAATAGCCTTTTCCTTAATGTCAAAGCGAATCATAACACTTTCGAAAATCCAGGTCTGAGCCTGTTGCTATGGTAATGAGCTGGCACTACCAAGAACAGCTGAACTGGGCAAGTTGAGTGCTGACCTGGGATGTTGCCATGGGAACATTGGGAGTGACTGACTGAAGGGAAGGACTGGAATTCAGACTAAGAGCAGATGAGCCTTAGTGAGTGGCCTTCAATTTCTTACACACCTGGATACACACACACACATATTTGTGATCATGTCCCATTTATGGAAGAGTGAGAAGTAGCTCTACGACAGAAAGCTTTCAAACTGTCCGGCAGGAATCAGGTGAGCTACATGTCATTCAAAATCAAATTCTTGAATATTATTAGTCTTACCATCATCGTTATTGATCAGTGTGACACACAACATGCATACGCTTGGGGCACTAGAGGCGACGTGATTGCCCAAAGCCATTTGACTGTTAACCTGTCTCAAACGCCCTTCTGAGCCAGTACAGCCCACAGCTTAGCCACTGTGCTGTCCCGTGCACCGCACCGACCTGCGGATCCTTCAAAAGTCAGTCAACAACGTGAGATTCAGCTTGAAAGCGGGTCGGCGGTCCAGTTGGAGGGATCATGTGAACCCACACGTTTTCATTCGCTTGATGTTTCCATCAGAATCACTGGAGCTGAGAGACCTGAAACAAACTGCTGAGTCTCAGAATAAGTGCAGAATCATGTTTGAAAGAGAAAACGGAGATGAATATGAATATATAAATATATATATATATATATTATAAATAGTCTTATATATGAAACTGCAGAGGGGTGTTATTCTCTGGTTAGGTTGTGGTCGGACACAGAGAAAGCACAAGACTCACTCCTCAGAGTCCTGTTGTACAGCATTGTAATTATTTCCAGAAGAGTTCTACAAAATGAATTTTAGCCTATAAATATCTTTCTTACTGTGCTTGGGGAATATTGTTATCCTTATTATAGATAGCATTGCGATTCTGAGATCCCCCCTCCAAATCTCATCGGGTTACTGGACTATATCAGTGTTCTGTAACATCATGTAACGGTGTGTCTTTCGGTATCACTGACTGTCATTCCAGATGATACGTACTTGCTTGAATTCCCCACCATCAACCCCCTGCCCTACTCCTCCTCCTCTTCCTCCTCTTCCTCTCCCTGCTTTTCCACACTCCCTTTTTTAAGTTCACTGGGGTTTCTTTGTTATTGTACAGTTTTCAGAGCACAAAATGAATGTGTCATATTTCTAATAAAAAAGTATATCTATATAATAAAGGGAAAGATGTCATATTTATGGCACTGTGAAACGGACGGATGAATGGATGGATTAAAAAAAAAACTAAACAAACTTTATGAAATGAAAATTCGAAATGTTGCCTTAAAATAAGATAACTAACTAAAAGGTTTAAGTACAAAAAAAATACTAAAGCTAAACCTGAAATAAAATTAAAGCTAAATAGAAACATTTAAACAAAAACTAATGAAAAGCACATAAAATGACTAAAACTTCAACTGAAATTCAAACTAAGCTAATTGAAAACATTAATGAATACTATCGTATATAAATAATACTAAAATAACTGTTCTTTGCACTGAAGTTTCATCCGATGAGCCCATAAATCCACTGATAAAGATTTAACCAATCATAAATGCTGGTGATAATAAATGTGTGTTATTATTCGATTAAAAGAATACATTAGGATTGGAGTCATGGGAATGTGGTGGGAGGGAAAATGTGGCCATGCTTCAAATGGAGGACATTAATTTCATGTCACCAGAGAGCAACCCAGTGTCCTGAACCTAATTATGTCAGCATTAGTTACTCAACACTTTTTAATACATCACTGGTTGCGATAAACTAGAAAGATTAGTATTATAGAAAATAGATCTGAAAAATGCATGTTAATAGATCCACTGCTGCTACAATAACAAATAGTATTTATGAATTATATATGAAATAAATTGTGAATGAATAATTAAACATAAGAAAGAGACAAGAAGAAGAAAATATTAGAACTGTTATATGTATTAGTTGCAGTAGTAGCAAAGTGTAATAATAAATAGCACATAAAAATATCACATTGATGTTATAAACATTGGACAATTTTATTTAATTTCATTATTATTTGGAATTTAAGGTACAGCCTAAAATTGAATTTGTAAACATGCTCAATTATTTTTAAAAGGTCCATGTATACAGTATATATGATTTGTGTAAACAAAATTATAGGACAAACCGAGGTACAAACATAAACACAGCTGAGGGGGAAAATAACAGCAGAGGAATATCAAAGTAATAATTAAATGAACATAACCCCACTGGCTTTGTCTCATTGCAGTGCGTTAATTTTTTATAATGGGTTCACTAATGCATGAGAACATCTGTTTTCAAAGATTCCCATATACTGAAGCGCAGTAATCAGGACTAGTTCGGGCTGTTTAGACCAATAAACAAGCCCATGGAGCCTGTGTAATGCAGCAGTTACAGTACTGCTAAACACCTTTCATATGTTTATGAGGTGTTTGCTAGGACCTCCGTAACCTGTGTGGCTAGAAAGTTTGGTGAGAAGTGCTACAAACTGTCAGCTAACTGGAGAACATGATAGTCTAATTAAACACCCCGAGCTAACGAAGTGTGTTAAGATGAGACTGAACCAGCAGCTGGATGTTTATTTCATACACTGTAAAAAAAAAAAATCTGTGACATTTACGGTAAAATACTGGCATCTGTGGTTGCCAGAACTTCACCGTTAAAAACGCAAGCTTCAGATGAAGAAGTGAATGATGTGTGCTCCCGGCGCCTATTTATACTATAGTCGCACCGGTAGTGACGTCATGGCTGTCGCCGGCCAACGAGTTGGTGTTTTTTCAATGTATGCTTCAGACACGGGTCACGACGAGGCGTTCCCCATAGCGACCCCTAGAGGACGCAGTGTCTCGTTCCCTACTCAGGGAACCATGGTTACACAAGTAACCTGAGACGTTCCATTGCAAGATCAATGTAACTTCACATTTTTAAATGGAAGAATTACTAATAATAACAATAATAATAAATAGCTGCACATTTCTGCTTTAAAACTGAATGCCTTGCCCCATAGACTCCCACTGTAAGTGCACGCTGTGCTTGTTTTTACAAACTGGGGTACAAATAATCAACAGTATGTCACAGACATCCACAGAGCTCGACTTGTACTAAGCCCAGAACATTCCTTTAAGCACAGAACACATTTGAGCTAAAAACAACTTCATTAATGTTCTGTAAAGTGTATTATAACGGCAGGCAACACACAGGGAAATCAGACCCGTTGTTATACCACTATGACAAGCCTCTGAAGAAATGTGCCTCAATGTTCACCCTGCAGCTGCTGCGACACACTAGCTAATCCACGTCTAGCTTTGGTGTGTCCATTTCCATCTACTGACATGTGATATCCACAACAGTGTCTGAATACTACGAGGCTCAAAGCCACAGGATCCACCTGGGGTCAAAACACAGCGTGGGACAAGGCTTCATTCAGCAAGGAGTGGCAAAAGGACACCAAAGGGGAAATGACACAAATTCACAAACAAGAGCTACCTTACAGGATAAACGTAAAACTGCAGGGCAAACAGAAACAAGCGGGCCAGGACTAATCTTTGCTAGTATTAAAGCTCAGTTAAACTGAGGAATTCCCTGAAGACTGGAGAAAGGAATTCCGTATAAACAAGCAATTGGTTAACACGAATATAAATAACACAATCTAGCCATTTTGGCTAAACCGGGCACCAATTACTCCAGTGACTTCAGCAAGCACAGGTTTACTCACATCACAGCTGTTATCACTTCTTTTTTAGCTTAACTGTAGATATATCATTGTGTTAGGAGGACAAACATTTTACTGAGTGTAGAAAACACTAAATGTATCCATATTCCTGAGAGGAATGTAAGCCAGCAAACAGCATAAATGCAACCAACTGGATCCGTCTTTATGAGCAAAGCTACTGCATAATGAAGTCATATCACCATAAAACTGACTGTGATGCATCAAATCTTATAATGTTTTGTGGAGAGAGAACATTATTCATGCACCATTATCGTCAATCAATGTTCATTTAGCCATTGGAGTTATTGACTCTTTCTAAATTAAAGTGTAATCTTCCGAGACAAACCATTATACACTGTATAAAGTGAAAATGTGCAGCTATTTCCACCTGATCTGATCCGTTACTTTTGTTGGTCTAACCCAAAGGTGATTCTGCCATATTAACTAATACAATTAATAACTTTTAACTAATACAATTAATTTGGATGTTACTACATAAAGCACATTTTTACATTTCTTGACCTTTATTGCAGTGTAGAATATTGTCTGTTTACTTTGAGGAAATCATGAAAATCATGGTATGGTTCTCTGCATTTTATATATAACACTTTTTGGGGGTTCAAATGAATACTAAGCTATAAGATCTCATTTTAGAGGTTTATCAGCTGTTGAAAAGAATTGGGGCTGCTCTTGGGCTGAAACAAACTTTAGACATGGGTTGGGGTGTTGGAAAGGGGGGCTTGTTGTGTTATTCTACATTTTAATAGTGTACATTTCCATAGAATTACATATTGCACACCAGTGCATATTTGCCATCCTTTTTGAATGCAAAACATGTTTATTATACTTAATAAACTTGTCACTTTTTGTGTCTATTGAGCTTAACAACTACCTTTTCCTTGACTGTAAATGCAAGTCCTTCTTGGTCCATGAAACCAGCATCTAGATGAAAACACAAATCAATATACTCGTTACAAAGCTCAAGGCAACAAATCAAGACTCAACAAATAAAACTGCTGAAAAATAGTTGTATAATAAACACATCTGGAGATAATAAAATGTTTAAATGCCCCAACCGAGAGAGTCTTTTGCAGGTCAACAGGTGTCTCGACAAAATTTGAAAATCTACAACTACTCCAGTCTTACAACTCTATTGGCAATGCTTTTCTTGAAGCCTACACTGTAAAATGAAAATCTGTGACATTTACGGTAAAATACTGGCATCTGTGGTTGCCAGAACTTCACCGTTAAAAATATGATAGCAACATTTTAGGTTTTACAGACTTAACTTAAATTCACAATAAAAAAAAACATATTTCATTAACTGATGTAATGTTAATAAACCAGCATATTGAAGAACTAATATATATTTTGAACCATTGTAATACTGATAACCACCAAAAACAGGTGGTAATGAGAAAATCACATGATTAATCAAAGCTCATCACAAACAGCTATTCCACAAGCTGAGAAGGGAAATACTATATATATAAGGTGCACAGTGTCATTCACACAAACACTAAACACCATCATGGTAACACACATTATACTGAAATAATTCAATAAACATTCATTTAAGAACATTACATGTAAGATACAACCCTAATGTACACAACCAATAAGAAAAAAACTAAGAAAAAATGAAAAAACATAAAATATGAAGTGTCATGCAGGGAATTCTGGGAGTGTCAATTTATGGTTTTTCACTGTAAATTATACAATGACTTTTTCTTTTTCACTTCCAAAAACCGTAATTTTAACCGTATTTTACTGTAAAATTACATTAAATGTAATTACAGTTATTCACCGTATATAGTATGGAAACTTACTGATAACCAATTAAAAGGTTTTTACTGTAGCATTTTTACAGTCTTTTACTGTTAAAATCACAATCATTTTTTACAGTGTAGGGACATAAGAAAGCATGTTCTGCTGTGATAATTATGCATTGACCTCTGATTTGAGCAGAACCTTATGGAATGTTTTGATTCCACCATCTAATTAAATAAGCGGTAATAAGTTGCACTATATGTAATAAAGCTTCAGGTTGTTTAGTTGGAAGTGACTGGTGGATATATTGATTCGTTTTAGGTTGTTGCAAATGTCAGTCATGCGAGTTAATTCGGCAACTTGCATGACTGACATTTTTTCGTAAACATACAATAGATCAATAATATTAAAAACATGATAACTCGCATGTATAAAAACTAAATGCAAGTCTGAATTCATTTTTAAATAGCATGGAATGCAGCACTCTGGGAAGTCAGATAATAGACTACAGCTTATAACCCATCCATCTGTCAATCACTGATTTTGTGTATTTACCACATATCCCTAACTGAGAGATTTGCCATTATTTGAAAATAATCTGGTGCTCCATATAGTGTTTTCTGCAACATTGCATTATTTGGATAATTAACTTTTTAG